TTGAATTTTTTTTTTTTTTTTGGGTTAAGTCGTTCTTCATTAACTATTCATATTATTTTTAATGGTCTACTATCGAAGTACGAAAGACTAGCAAAGAACATTTTGTCTCCCTCCATCTCGCTGCCCCATGCATTTGGGCATTCCTACTTCCTCTACTTCTCCTTTCAATTGCTAGAAGATAATCAAAATAATTTCACAATTTGAATATGCAGTCAATGCATGCAACAAATGACAATAATATGATTAAAGTCAAATAACGTTATTGTCTAACTCCATTTCCCCTCCCCTGATTACAGCGCAAAAGATTGCTCCGGCAATACCGCAAGCTTCGAACTTCAGTACCAGGAAAAAGAGCCGACAAATGACTTTGGCCAAATTCTCTAGTCCCAACTACTATTTGTTACGCAAATTCGGTAGTGTGAATACACGACAGTTGCAATAGGACAGCAATTGAGCATTACCACCGAAAAGAGAAAAAGCGGAACTATGCCCACTCGGGAGACGATAATGCTAAGGCTCCAATCCAACTGCAGCAAATGAAAAAAAGAGTTTAGAAAAACCTTTTAATAAAACTAACACCTTTTTTTTTTTTTTTTTTTGTTTACGCAGAGGTATCTGGATCTATGAACTGGTTACCGTACGACCCAACTAATTCTCTGCAGGTCGGGAGAGACTGCCCAACATCACAGACCGTAGTACCCAGAATTTGAATCTTTGCGGTGATACTCACCTAACTAGGCTACTACTACCATCAACTCTAGCCCTGGGGGCTTTTAATAAAACTAACACCTTATTCATCGGGATTCAAATTTTTCCTGTTCCCAGAGTTGACAACGTGCGTAGTAGATTAAACATAAACAGGAAACAACTGCTAGCAGGAACTCCGAAATTGAGTCTTGAAGGGTGAGGCTTCAGTGACAGTAGACAAAAAAAACCAAAACCATCGAGCTTATTACCAGCATTTAGCACATACAAACCAAAAACAATTAAGTTCCCTTATTGCGTTTACACCTAACTACTTCTTCTGCAGAGTTTACACTAATAGAGGAGTATTATCTTCTTGTAGACCTTACCAGAAATAGAGAGCATTTATTTTTGTATTCAACTACTGATGAATTCTAGTGGGACTTTTTCCCAATGATGTTTACTCTACAAAAACATTAGCTAACACAATTTTGAATTACTCCCATTTTAAAATACACTTTTACATCTATAATCTCCTCAGAAAATAAAACTTTTAATCCTAGTCCTCCGATGGCACTTGTTTGACAAATTGTTTGTCATATGACAAGGGATTTGCCGCAAAAGATGACTATTTCTAAGTATGTACATAAAATCGTCTGTCCGTACATTCTGCAAAGAGTTCAAATTTAAAAAAAACCAACAACAAAAACTCAAAGACCTATCGTATAGAATCTAAATTTAGCTATAGTTTTAACTCTACATATATGCTTCCAAACTTGTATAGTCTTGGTCCAAAATCAAATTATCCTTGAATGAACTTCATAACAAACGAGTATTACCGAAAAGAAGATTCGTACTTTACTAGGAAAAGAAAGCCATTTTGTATTCGAATTTTCAAGAACTGTAAATGTGATTTATTTTTTTGGGGGGGGGGCAATTATAAACATCCCTAATCAATCAAGGTTGTAATCCCAAACAAGGAGGATCACAAGTTTGCAATCGGTTGGTGGCCGGGGCATCCCAGTGAAGGTACTGCGTGGGAACGCTGGAAGCATAGCTCGACCGCCGGTGATTGGCAGTAGTGGGACATCCTGCCGTGATCGTACCAAAACCGTCGCCAGCCCCTGCCGGTAACTGCGGAAATTGGTCTCTTTTAACTTGTGTATGACGTGTTTAGATTTTTCGTTTCGATCACTTTTGTATTTTTACAAATTGTTTTTCTTTCGTGACACTTTTTCCCAGAGGTAAGTACCTTTTTCTGTTTCTGAAAAGGGCAAAAGGAAAAAGAGATTTCGAATTTCTTTTTCCTAAGGCCGTTGATTGCGGTTGGAATAAAGAACTTCTTATGTGGACCCACTCTTTGACCGCATCTTCCCTCTTTTGTCATTTTACGCTCTTACGCTTTTTGATTTTCTAGGTTGAGAAAACAGCCTCAGCTTTGGGAGATATTCGCGAGCAAGCCATCGCCGTAGTCAGTTTTGACCGTCAGTAACAGTAATAAAATATTAACGCGTGATGTCGGTGTTCCATCCGACGCTAATGCCAGATAGAAAATTTTGAAGGGGCTGAGCCGTGAGTGTTGTTTGTCGGGTTATTGAATGGTCTTCACAGCCGGTCAATTTATATGATTCTGGCCCAAAATCCATGCGTCCTTCAGCTGCCACGTTGTTGGGAAATTTGCAGGTGGGAGATCCTGGAGTCATTTTCACCCGATTCACTCTACTAGACATGGGTCAAATCAGCGGACTAGCCTAAATAAATCGGACCATGTTAATTCAGACCGGGCGGGAACGGTTGTCAGTACAATCGTTTCAAAAGTTTGTGTATATTTTATACACGGTGTAATATCATTTGTATACGATGTAATACTAGAGAATAACAGCGAGTAACCCTAGTACAATATTTTATGGGTCCCATACATATTAAAATCTGGATCTTATAAATTTTATTGGCCAAATCTTGGCCATTAACTGACAGGGACGGTAACCGTCCCTGCCCCTCAACCTGTTAATTCTGTATACTTGAAACTCTTCTTTAAACTTGAATTCTGTATCGAAACTCGTTGAACATTTTTGTTATGGTACATTCTAAGATTGAGCCTCAACTTGTTCATTCGATATTAGTTTGCAAAAGCATAACTAAAGTTCCCAAAAGTCCAAATCGTTGTTTTTTTTTTTTTAGTTAGTTCAAGCTTGCGTTAATGTTAACAATCAATTTTAAGCACAAGCGTCTCTTGAATTGGTACACAATTTTGTGTTAAAAGCTTGCTTCTAAATATATCACTCTTTAATTTGTTCATCTTTCATTCATAGGAAAATAGGCAAAGAGAAGTGATTTTTTTTCCTTTTTTGTAGCAAAAAAAAAAAAGTAAAGCGAATAAGAGAGAAAAAAAGAAGAAGAAGAAAAAAGCAAAGTAAAATTTGTATGCGTGGATCGTCGTATAATTGTGAAGAGGTTAATATAAAACAGAATTTCGACTATATTAACACACGAGATAACTGTGAATTTCAGGACAACAATCACAAATAGCATGAGGATCAGTATGGCTTTCTTTACATTCATGCAGATCGAACGCAGGGAGGGTTGGAAACTGTATTAGATCTGGTTGGTCACTCGTGATCACTTCCATCCTTTATTCCCTTTGCGTCTTTCAATTTGGCTGCTCTTTCTAAATTATGTTTGATCTTATACAATCATGATGAGTTAAAAAAGCAATTTAGATCAGAACTTGGGATTTCGCATTCGTGATCTACTATGTTTAGACCATTATTATTTGGTTGCTTGGCTGTCAAAAGATGCTTGAGTAGTTAAAGCGTTTTTACAAATGAGAATTAACGCAGCCAACAAGGGAGGCGCTCAAGGCAAATAAAGTCAATCTTCTTTCTTTAATTTAAATCCCTTAATGATGATGAAGGATATGATTGTAGTCACATGACTACGTTCATCTTTTTACCAGACTTCCTGGCTAATGGACTAGCGTTTTACGTTGATCTTCTAGGATTGATGATAATCGTTGCATTTTTCACCCTATCCTTTGTAACCCTTTTTAATGATATTCATTTTCTTCCGCTCTTCATTGCTCAAGTATGCAGTAATTTCTTTTTACTGCACAGCATAAGTTAAACCGCTCCGGCTGGAGACGTGCGTAAAAGTTACTCCTTGACAAACTACTCTATATACTCACTGAGTCTGGCTCACTGACCATCAAGGAGGGGTAGAGGTTCAAATTTCATGTGCTAACGGAAAAAAATTTAAGAGTGGTGTCAAAACACCCTTTTAATTTAAGTAAGATCCGTGTACTTACTAATTCCTAACACAGAGTCTTTTTAGACTTCCATTTTTTTCCTGTAATTTAAGATAGAATAGATTATACAATGATTATTTTCTCCTGAAAAAAAATAAAAGACAAACTAGTCTACGTGTCCATCCAGTTACCTATGAGAGGCGAGACCCGTTGGTTAGTTATTCAATTTGTTAGTAATTTGTTCATAAGATTCTGGATGCGATTGGGTTAAAGATTCAAGCGAAAAATCCCCGTTCATTGGCCGATGAACTCTTTCCAAATGATTAATGTAGGTTATTTACTAGTTGTATTTAGCTTAGTCCATCATGCAGGTCAGCTCAAGTGTCCATGGCCAAGTAAAAGACTAAAAGCTAGTAGTGAAAGCTGACAAAGAGTATTGACTACTATGGTTGAGAGGCACTTGGCATTCAGGGGGAAGAGGTAATCAGGTAAAGGTCAGGATGGACAATTTGCAATTGAGCAAACGGAGACGGACGCTCAAAAGACAGACAGAGTCTGAAACCTTTTTGACTCTTTCCTCTGCACCCCCATTTTCTTATTTCTTCTTTACTTCTTCGGGTAAATCCTCGTTCAACTCCTGCATCCAACCCACTTCTCAATCAGTATTCATTTTATAAATTAGGAGGACCAGGAGGCAGGAGCCCTCTATCCATCCCCTGATTTTCTGCAGTAATTCCACCCCTGATTGCCATCCCATAGGCCATATCACGAAGAAAAAAATATCCAGCGCCGACCCTTCCTAGCAAAAGCGCCGAAACAAGAGCACATGACTCTGCCCTTTTCTGTTTCTTTCTCTCTCTCTCTTTTTCTTCCCCACTCAAATTATCAGCTCATTAACCCTTGACGAATAAAACCAAAAACAAAAAAAAAAAAATGCGGTAGTAACAACGTCAATAAAATACTACTAGTTCAGCAAATTAAAAATTACAAAACTAGTAAGTGCATTAATTTCTGAACAATTGGCACCTTCCCTCCACCCCCACCCCCTCTTCGACCTCCATATATACAAGCACTTCCCCTTCCCCTCACTCACCTCTTTCTATTCCTCTCTATACTTTATTCCTGTTCTTCTCTTCTGGGGTAAGTTCCTCAGAAGTTATGCACTAGATTATAAACAAAACCAACATTGGCATTTTCCATACAGAAGAAGTTATCACTTCTGTTTTCAGAACAGATCTATATAGTCGCAGAAATTGATTTTTGGCGTCCCTTTCAGTTTTTGGAGCAAGGGTTGGCTTTAAATTAATGGAGAATACTGTGAAACTCTGTTTCATTGCTCCTCTGTTTCTGCTGCTTGGGATTCTTCCCTTAGCATTTGCGGGCCACGATTATAGCGAAGCTCTAAGCAAGAGCATTCTCTTCTTTGAAGCTCAGAGATCTGGTTACTTACCAAGAAACCAAAGGGTCCAATGGAGGGGTAATTCTGGTCTCAATGATGGCAAGCCCAGCGGGGTAAGTTCAACTATTTAAGCCACATTTTGATGTTTTAACTTCTGTGGCTCATTTTTCACGTGCAATTGCTAATTTAGCTCAAATTCTTGAGTTGTCTTAGGTGGATCTAACTGGAGGGTACTATGATGCTGGAGACAATGTGAAATTTGGGCTTCCCATGGCATTTACAGTGACTATGATGTCCTGGAGCATTATCGAGTATGGGGGGCAAATGGCTGCGAGCGGTGAGCTTAGCCATGCCATGGATGCCATTAAGTGGGGCACTGACTATCTCATCAAAGCTCATCCCAACCCAATGTCCTCTACGGGAGGTAATGAATGGTTCACTCTAATTTGAAAAAGAAAAAAAAAATTAACGTTTGATTAAATGTTGGGATTCGTTGCTTAGATTGCGAGCAATTTTTTTAACTGTAGAAATCTTTTGGTCAAGGAGTTTGGTCTACTTGCACTGCCACTTTTGGCCATCGCGATTCCAACATTTTTAAGAAACCACAAATTCTTTCGTAGTTAAATCTAACATTGGACTTTCCAATTCCATTTCTTCAAGAAACAATAATAATATTATGAATTCTCTTAAAAATCAAGTAGTGAACCGGTACGTCATTTTCAGAGAAAAGCGAGATTCGTTTAATACGGGATTAGGAGGTCCCCTGTTTTTTTTTTTTTTAACATTTTTAAGCATTGGTGGATTATTATTATTTTTTGGCAGGTTGGAGATGGTAACACAGACCACTACTGCTGGCAAAGGCCGGAGGACATGACCACGTCAAGGGCTGCTTACAGAATTGACCCAAGCAATCCCGGATCTGACCTCGCTGCTGAAACTGCCGCCGCAATGGCCGCTGCGTCGATCGTTTTCCGCCGTTATGATAGTGCATATTCCAACGAGCTTCTCGACCATGCTTATCAGGTACACTCATACGTATTTGCATAGTCAAATGTTGTTGTTTAACTTTTTATTAATTCCGAATCTCTAATGTCGGCTTCAGACCAAAAGTTCTCTGATAGTACTAGTAGTGTTTACTTAACTAATAACTGGTTTATTAGTAGTAATAATACTTAGTTAGTGGTCGCTGTCCGCTGAGAATGTGTTCATTGGACCGGACGAGGGAGCGAGAGGATCCGGTTTGGTTTCCTCTCCCCTACATTTTTTTTTTTTTTTTTCAGAAGAAAAGAGAAAAGAGTGTCCACCGAGAACAATAATAGTAATGAATGAATTGGCGCACGCTAGCAACAGTTGATTGTGCGTAGGTTAGCAAAACGGTCGCGCAGTTAATAGGCAGTTACGAAGGTTCAGCTTTTTGTCAGGCTGGTGGTTGTCGGTGTAGGCCGCAGGGAGAGGTTGGAATGCGTTCTGCTTTTACGAATCCCATTGAAGCTCAATGACTCCACCTTTACAGTCTTCTTTCTTTCTTTCTTCTTTACTACTCCAGGAGTAATTATTAAGATAAGATAAGATAAAAGAACCCAGCATGCTTTCTTCAATATTCTAAAAAAAAAAAAAAAAAACTCCTAGTTTTACTTCTCAGTCAAAGTTGGACTACAGCCAGCCAGCCATAAAAAAAATAATAATAATAAAAAAATCGATCTTCCATGTTGCTAACGCTAGCTAGCTTTTGAACTTTTGAAAGACTTTCACTAAAGAACCCAGACATTTCACATATCAGCTGCGCTTTTTGGAATGAACTACACTAGTACACTATTTGCGCTCTTTTTATCAAGTGGAATGGAATATGCTTATCTTCACCGAAAGAGGAGCAAAGGGACTTCAAAGTTCCAAAACATCCCCTTTCTTTTTCCTTTCGTCGCTGATCAGTACAGACTACTGTTTCGAGTATGGATTGGATTCTTTTCTTTTCTTTTCAAAACCTGTATGGATTCTTTAAACAAAAGATAAATGGCGTTTACACTGAGGTCCTGGTGAATGAAGAAGGAAGGGTCCAAAATTGAAAATTATAGATCAGCACAGCAGGAGAGACCAACAATGGCGAATCGATAAAAAGTGCTGAGTGGTACATACTCTTTTTTTTTTTTTTTTGCCCTTTATGGGTTAATATATGTACTCACTAGTGATAATTATTGTGGCATTGATTGATAGCATTGCCCATCATCATCCAGTTCAAATGCTGGTGAAGTGAAATCTTACGGCGCGAAAAACCGAAAAAAAAAAAAAATTTTCTTCATGGAGGACGTAGGGCCCATCTTAGCCGGCATTCACGGGCAATGTCTCTTATTTGTACGGCTTTGATGTACTTCCAAATCCCAACCGTTAATTAAAAAATGATCAAAGGTAAAATCTACGGGGTATGGAGTCTGGGCCCGTAAGATCTTGAAACGTGGTGTGTTGTCGGTGGGATTCGGAGTTTTGGACCACTAAAAATATGCCCCTTCTTCTTTTATCGTTTGGAAAAAAAAAAAAAAATGCCCCTTCTATATCTTTCTTTTCTTGGTTTTCCTGTCTTACCCTTCATTTTCACGAATATCCCCCCCTCTCTCTCTCCGGCGGCTCTAATGTAGTACAGTATTTGTTGTCGTGTTCAGCTGTTCGAGTTTGCTGATAAATACAGGGGCAAATATGACAGCAGCATCACAGTGGCCCAGAAGTACTACCGATCTGTTAGTGGGTACGCGGTACGTGATTCCTCCTCCTTTTTTTGTAGCCAATCTAAATAAAAAATTAAACATTAGTGCCATTTTTTTTTTTTTTGGGCACCCCTCCAACTCCCTTTAGTAAAAGTACATTTCACTCGCTTTTAATTGCAGGACGAGCTCTTGTGGGCAGCAGCCTGGTTGTACAAGGCAACCAACAACCAGTTCTACTTAAATTACCTAGGCAACATGGGGATGCTCTTGGTGGGACTGGTTGGGCCATGACCGAATTTGGGTGGGATGTCAAGTATGCTGGCGTCCAGACCCTTGTTGCCAAGGTAAAATATTTTCTAATCCATACTAACTATTTTCGAACAGTTTTCTTGACTTCTAAATTGTTATTTCCATAAATGTTGGACTCAGTAACAAATAATCATATAATCAAAGGTGCGCCTGGATTGATTCATGAACTAACAAACCCGCTTATTGTATTGTTTCGTTGCCAGTTCTTAATGCAAGGGAAAGGTGGTCGTTATACAGGGGAATTTCAGCAATACCAGCAAAAAGCCGAGGCTTTCATGTGTTCGTGCATGGGAAAGGGCAATCAGAATGTTCAGAGAACTCCAGGAGGCCTCATTTTCCGCCAGAGGTGGAACAATATGCAGTTTGTCACAAGTGCCTCATTCCTTCTCACTGTCTACTCGGATTATCTTGCTTCTGCTGGCAAGTCTCTCAAGTGTGCTTCTGGCTACGTATCGCCATCTGAAATGCTCTCATTTGCTAAATCTCAGGTATAGCTGCTGTTCTCTACGAGTTTTAACCGACGCGGCGCATTTCACCTCTTATCTCTTACAATTGTCCTGTGCTAACTACTCGATGCTGGGCTTCATATGCTACTGCAGGTGGACTACATTCTTGGAGACAACCCGAGAGCCACGAGCTACATGGTTGGATATGGGAACAACTATCCTAGACAAGTTCACCACAGAGGTTCATCCATTGTCTCCATCAAGGTAGACCCCTCATTTGTGAGTTGCAGAGGGGGTTATGCCACTTGGTTTAGCAGGAAAGCAAGTGACCCCAATGTCCTCACCGGTGCTATTGTTGGAGGGCCAGATGCATACGACAATTTTGCTGATCAGAGGGATAACTATGAGCAAACTGAGCCTGCTACCTACAACAATGCTCCCATTCTCGGTGTCTTGGCTAGACTACATGGTGGCCAAGGCGTTTATAACCAGCTTCTTCCAGGTATGGTAGAGAGAGATTGATCTGTTTCAAAGTCTTGGCCTAAATTAATCATGCAGTTTTCGCTTAATTTAATCATGCAAATTTGGTGCAGTGGCTCAGCCTAAACCAGTCCCACACCCGAAATTAACTCCAACTCCAGGTATTATTCTTTTCCAGTTGTAGGAACTTAAATCCACTATTTTGCAATTCTCAAACCTTGCCCAAGATACATTGCCTGATTGGTGGGACTTATCTAATGTGAGGGTTATTGTATCGCAGCTTCATCCTCCAATCCAATTACTGTTGAGCAGAGGATGACAGATTCATGGCTTAACCATGGAAGAACTTACCATAGATACTCTACAATAGTGACTAACAAATCTGACAAGACAGTGAAGAATTTGAAGATTTCAATATCTAAGCTCTACGGCCCTCTGTGGGGTCTCACAAAGTTTGGTGATTCTTACACATTTCCAGCATGGACCAACTCTTTGCCCGCAGGAAAAAGCATCGAGTTTGTGTACATCCATTCTGCTTCTCCTGCAAATGTATTGGTGTCGTCCTACACATTTGCTTGAGACAAGAAGAAAACGCATTCTCAGCCGAGGTTTATGAGTTTTATCGAAGTTACATAAGAATTGTGCACATATAGAAGGAGCAGCCCAGAAGGCCTACCTAAAACTTCAATTACTCGTTGATTTGCAATCTGAGCAGTGTTTTAGTTGCAGTTAGGTAAAATAAGGGCGAAGCATGGAGGAAGAAAGGAGTGAAGAGACGATTTAAAAGTGCTCATCCTCTTTCTTCTCCACTTCATTTATGAGTTTGCATAGAAGAATTGAGAGACAGTCAAAAAGAGTGAGATTTTGAGAAGTGAAGAAAGGTTTCACATCTCAATAGGGTTTTTAATGTTTTTCTTCTACAGCAAAGCTTTGAGGGCTTTTTCTTTCAACTTTTTCAACTCGTTGTGTGGTGATATTGTAAGGTTTACAGCTTTTCTTGATCTCAACATGAATATAGTTGGTGCAAATTTGTGATCAACAAGCTTCTCTGTCTACATGGTTAGTTCTTACAACTCCTCAAAATGCTGTGCTCGTTGTTTGTGACATAATGATTGTGTCTCATCACGAACAGGAACACACTACTGGGACTTGCAGTGCTTATTGAACAGTACTTATTCTACAAAAAATGATCAAGAAAAAATTGACGAAAATCTACTACTAGTTTATACAGTTTGTTGTTTGAGAATTGAGATCAATTTGGTCAGCCAATGAAATCTACAACTGTGCGAAGAAGAGACACCTGATTACGGTCATGGACTATTTCGTTGAGTAGCATTGCACACTTGCACAGGACCGCCGGTTCAAACTTATGTACCTCTAGCAACACTAAACTGGCTAGTTGCTCGTAATACCTTTTCTTTGGGCCTTCAGCCTCGTATTCCAAACAGTACGTCTAGCCCAACTTCACAACATCATGCGGTGTGTGGGGAGCTAACAACCTGGGTTGGGCATATTAGAGGGTAGCAGGAACTAATTAGTGCTATCTAGCTGATAAAACTGCTGAATTCGTATACTTTCATCGGCAGATTCGCTAAATTTAAAAGAGAGTTGACGTTAATCCAGTTCTAGAAAAGTAGCTAATCATAAAAATGAACACCTTAGCCTTTAATTTCACGACGAATTCACCTTCTGCAATCCCACCAATTGTCCAAAGGAATGAATTTGAGTGAGAAACGAACGTCGTTCCAACCATGTCCAAAATCAGAGAAATCTCCGATGTACATTGCACGTTCAGATCCTACACAACAGCGAGGAGAGAAAGGGGTTGGGGGAAGCAGAAATGACATTAACACGAGTAAGTACAATCAACTAGTGGAAGCTTTGCTGCTCGGTTGGTTGCTTGAGATCAACTACGATTATGCTTATGTTGTCTCTGCTTCCTTTAGCAATAGCTAGCTGAGCCAAAATTGCTGCAGCTTCCGCAGCAGCACCAGGTTCCGTTCGACAACCTTTTGCTGATCTGGCCATTCAGACACCTCCTTACTACTTCACAGGCAACGTCATTGGGCACCACATCCACAGGCCATCAGTTGCTATGATGAGGAAGTCGTCCGACTCTGTTCTCTTGCATACTTTGACCTCTGGCTCCGAGATCACGTAGGGCTTCAGATAGTGATCGCCTGTTTAAATGAATTGGTCCAACAATTGAAAACTGGAACTATGATCACAAATGCCGGCGATATAAATGGAAATTTACGTAAAAGTTATTTGCTAAACCTCGAAACTTTTTTACCGATTTCAGATTGAAGCCTGTTTGTATCCCACGCAGATATTAACTGACAAACTTTATTTAGATTGGGACTCGCAGACGTTAATGAAGACATGATAAATTAGTGCAGCAGGATTAAAAAGATTCATAGTCCCAGAGACAAGGAAGATAAGAATAGTCCAAATTTCTTGAATTAGGCATTTATTTGCTTAATGATCAGCAAGGTCTCCTTAACTTCATGCAGATAATGAAACAAAGCTGAAGCACTCGAGTCGAGTCATTTTTCCACAGTATGAATAAGAAGATGATGTACCTATTGATCTTGAAGTAGCAAGGACTCCCTGTACACGGCAGCCATCCAATCGATGATCCTTCCACCAGCAGCTTCCACCTCTCCTTCTCATCAGGCCTATCAGGCTGTTTAAAATAAAATGCCAAAAGTGAAAGCTAAAAGAAATTAGTGTCAGATATGCTTTGAAAATTAAGAATGCAAACATCGATGATTACCTTAAGGATAGGAGAAAAAAAAAAAAACTGTTGCTTTCGTTCTAACAATAAATTCAGGTTGCCCTCAGCTTGTACTTCTTATTCCTTCTTTTTGGGGGACAATCAAAAGCTTTAAAACTAGCAGATGTCACAGCGATTAAGTTTTTAAAGTCATCCTCACAAAATCGATAGAAAAAATCTGGATAATACGTATTACAATAAGATACAACTATTTGGGAAGATTTGAGTGGTTAGCCGTGTCATTACATCTTCAAAAGTATCGTCCCAATGACTTATGCAGCCATAGCATATAATTCAGTTCAATTCAGTTCAGGTAATTCAATTCAATTCGATTCAAGCAATTACATTTCGATCCAGTTAAATGAAAATGAGTGTGATAAAGTACACACTCGACTTTCTGAAGTTAACATGTAGACATAACTTAATGTTTCAAAAACCAGTCAACCAGCAACTTCGAATTTAAATTGTCCAAACCACCTAAAGATCATTTGAAGAGGGTCTTATGAATTATTGATCCCCAGTGTTATATTTGGTATGTTATGATTAAACTCTAGCAACTTAGCATATCTGAGTACTTCAAGCCCTGTCTACCATGTTTTGATTGCATTTCAAAAAACAGTGAGAAGACAAGTGTTACCTAGAAAAATCAGTGAGATGCAATGTGCATGAGATTTTTTTTAAAAAAAAATTTGGAAATATAAAAAGATACTAAGAACATATTTAGAAAACATGCCAAAAATCTTTTATCCAGAAAGTGTTACCTAGCTATCACTACTACGAGAAGAAAAGTACTTCAGCGAACGAGATAAAGAAAGGATTCAGACTTGAGTCATGCAAATCCATGGTGGCTGATAAAAGGCACTTTAGTTCTTTTTTTTACATTGTGAATTTCTGTTTCTGGACACGTTTGTTTTTGTTCCCAAAAAAGAAAAAATGTTCGTTTTCGCTTGGATGGCTTATTCGGCAAAATTTCCTTTGTGATGTGACGTTCTTTAAACACGTTTCTTATTGCCTTGTTATTTTTTCACTACATTTTTAACCTCACATGTATCATCACATATATGATACATATACATATATAAATATATATATACACACACACACACACTCTCACACACTAGTAGATAAAAAAATTTTCCTCCAAATGAATAGACTACAATATTTGGACCTTTTGCCACCTTTGTGAGTGAAGTGGGTCGTACAGTAGATATTTCTCGAGCTGGAGAAAATGAGTCAGAAAGGCAACTAAACGAGGAAACCCAAAGGAGTTGCTCGCATTTCCAGCACACCTCATATGACGCATGCAGACATTGCAGTGCTCCTAAAACATTTCTGAGTCGACGTCGACAACAAAACAAAGCACACAGACATCACATGGAAAGCGACAAAGCGAAAGAAAGGCACACGTAAGACGTAAACGATCTCCTAGGTGACACCTCAACGCCCCAGAACAACACACCCCCCCCCCCCCCCCCAAAAAAAAAAAAAAACAAAACAACCCAAAACAAGAAAAAATAACAAAAAGGAAAAAAAAATCCATCGTCAACATCACAACACGAGAGAATTCAGAACTTCACCTTATGATCATTCGACAGCGCCATCGCTCTTCCGCACGACACAGTACCGCCTTGAGTCCCCACAATTTGCCACCACCAACTCCTCTGGCCCCACCATTACCACCACGCCGTTGACCCACCGCCCTCTCCGCTCCCCTACCTCCAAACGCCTCACCCCCACCACTTGCTCATCCATTCTCAAGAAACACGCCGTCATCACTTGGCTCCAATCAACTCCACTTTCATTTTCCGACGATAATACTTTGTCCCTCGTGTTTGCTTGGAGCTCTTTTTCGACCAAATGGTGCATGCGGTCACGGCATGCATTGGCCACCCTTGCCCCGCCGTGACCATCGTACACTGCGAAGAATTCGTACTGTCCGGCCACTATCCCAGGCGCCACAGTCAATGCATCCTCCATTACCCTCCTGCGCCCGATAACCGATACCGATCCGCAAATTAACCGGGTCATGCTACCGCGATCTTCCACTTCGCCCGCCACTCCCTCTTTTTCACCAACTTCTCCCTCCGGTAGATTATCTCCATCACCAGGAGCAGGGCTCTTTTTTGATGCAGAACCTGAAAAACCCAAGTCACCGCTCCTGTTTCCGGCAGCCCCTTTCAACTTCTTGTCCTTCAGGGAAACATCTTCGTCTGCCGGTGCCTCGTTGGGCTTGGAGGTTGCCACCTTGTAATCAAAGCTTCTCTTTCTGGCGCAGCTGCATGCATCCTTGTCCTCGCTAAAATGCAAGGGCGGTTTCAAGCCGGCGGTCATCATTCGCCTAATCTGCAGCCTTTTCCGGCGAGCTTTCCTCGCTTTCTTTGCAAGAAGAGTACCCTTTGTAGTGCTAGTTTTGTGGCCGTCGAGATGGGATCTCATCTTATTAAAACTTTCTGTTTTAAAGATTCGATATCAATGAAATTAAACATTTTTCAAAACAATTTTCTGTTTTGGTTGGGGGTGGACTGTGGAGTTGAGGGGGGGGGTTTTGAGTGATTCTTGGATTGTAAAGACGGGAGGAGAGGGCTTGTGTGTTTTGAACTTAAAAAAGGGGAGGCAAAGAGTGGTAAGCTAGGACAGTTAACGTGGGTAGAGGAGGAGACTGGACAGTGAAGAGTACGAGGAAAAGCAGACACGTATGAAGGAGGAGGAGTGAGGGACGGAGGTGGTGGAGGAGGCCAAGGGCGCGGGATACTTGTTAACTACAACTTATTACTAGTACTGGAAATGGGAAGACGTGGACGGCCTACACTTTAATTTCTATTACACGTAGCGCAGCGGGAAAAGGTCGGCCCATTTCGGCTGCGGGGTACCTTTTTTCTTTTTCTATTTACTAGTGTTTTGACCAGTGCAATGCGCAGGATTATATTTCAAATCAAAATAATATTGTATATATTTATATATTATGGTACAAAATGATAAATATATATATGTTAAAAATTTTAAAGAAGTGATGCCTAATATTTTGAAAAAAAAATTAATCTATAATAATTTATAGGATAAAAGAGTTGTTAACGCATTTAAGGAGAGGGTTAGATTGGATGGTAAGGTGAAAAGAGTTTTCTTAAAAAAATTAATTTATTAATATCCGACAAAATATATTATATTATACTCATATATCAATACTTATAATATAAAAAAATAAATTATAACGAATTTATTTTCTTTCATTTTTAAAAAAAAATCTTTCTCCTATTTTGCACCCATATAATTGTTGAATGC